CCTAAAGTTATGCTTCTGCTAAAGTTATGCTTCTGCTATAACTTTGTGCTTTTGTTCCTCCTGATTCGGCAGCCTGGAATGCTTTCACACTCACACCTGCTGGTAAATTCTTACTCTTCTTTTGAGTCCTTTCAAGCACCACTTCCTCTCTGCAGCCTTCCTCATACTAATCTCTGTCCATTTCAATAACATTAAGAGCTTCACTTCTGCCATAGTACTTTAAAATTACCTTTGTTAGTACTTATACTGTTCTGTAATTTTCTCTTTATGTGCATCTTTCCCTCACTGGACCAAATTCCTTAAAAACAAGGCCCATGTGTTATTATTCTCTGTACACTGGATTACAGTGCTGGGTACACCTAAAATGTGTCAGCAGTGCTTGCTGAATTAATGCATAGGTAAATGATTACTAGGCACATTATAGAATTAGCCAGTAATCTCTTTGGTGAGAATGTATACAAAAGCACACACCAAACACTTACTCATTCACTCACATAACTCTTGGAATTTACCCAGGAAGGGGGCCCCTCTAGGATTAGTTTAGGACCATTGCCATCATCTGTGATGGTTAAACTGGACCCACCTGGAAAAACTCAACTTTCTTCCCTTTAAATCATTTAAATCACAGATTCCTAAGAAGGTCTTTGCCTTTGCAATTTCTATTTTCTCCCCATGCTCTATCTTTCTTTATCTAACTGAAAGTTTGCCTTTACACAAACTGCGATATGGGAAATGACAGATAAATTAATCAATCCAAGCCCCCTTGGTGAAGTTGGAGAGAGCAGGAGTTCTTGGAGCACAGGCGACCAGTAAGCCTAATGTGCTTCTGTTGACCTCCTGGTCTTTCAGTAACTGTCATTTAGGAATGCTTTTGCTGATTAGACTCTCAGGTCAGCTGGAAGGCAGAAGTCTTCAGGTACGTAGCTCTGGTTCTAGGCTTCCTCCAACTGCCTTCCATGAGAGGACATGTCAGAACTCACAATTGAATCCTCTGCTATTAAAAGTAAAAGAAGCTGTCTCATAGAATTGTGAGACATTCCAGCTCAGCTCTGGATTCTGACACAGAGCATTGGCTATTTTAGGATAAAGTGGCTTTTAAAAAAGAACAAAAAAACCCTTGATATTGTTTTTGAAAATGAATGAAGTAGTATGAAGCCACACTTGATATGTAGATTTTAAAGTTAATTGGAACAGCCCTGGTTGGTGTGGCTCAGTGGATTGAGTGCCAGACTGCGAACAAAAGGTTGTCATTTGATTCCTAGTCAGGGCACATGCCCGGGTTCAGGCCAGGTCCCCATTAGGGGGTGCCCAAGAGACAAGCACACACTGATGTTTCTCTCCCTCTCTTTCTCCCTCCCTTCCTCTCTCTCTAGAAATAAATAAATAAAAACTTTAAGAAAATAAAGTTAATTAGGACAGAAAGTGGTTTTAGGCTTCAAATATTCAGAATAATAGCATACCTTCTGAAAACAATGTTATAGTATTCTATAGAATTTTCCTTATCTGTTTAAAGGGGCTTTAATAATATGTAATCTCCATTTTTAATTTCTTTTAAAAATATTCTTATTTTTAAAATTTTACTTATATTTAGAGAGAGGAGAAGGGAGAGAGAAAGGGAGGGAGAGAAGCATCAATGTGTGGTTGCCTCTCACGCACCCCCCTCCAGGGATGTAGCCTGCAACCCAGACATGTGCCCTGACAGGGAATTGAACCAGTGACTCTTTGGTTCATAGGCCAGTGTTCAATCACTGAGACACACCAGCTGGGGATCCATTTTTAAATTTCTTAATTTAAGTACACAAAGCCAGTTATATGTATTTCTACTGTTGCAATAATAATTCCCTAACCATTTTGTTTCATAAAGTAAAACTTGGGAAAATTAAAGGACAATGTCTAAATATTCTTTTGATTTTATGGCCTCTTAATACTGTCTTAAAATTCTGACTCTGATTTGATATCACGTCCAGCTTAAAAATGGTTTCAAACTTTGGTCTCCCTGGGTAAGTCTCTTCCTTCCAAATTTTGGTACGCTGACAGCACATTCCTAGTTTTACTTAGGATGTCCCTGTTCTTTTCTCAATTAACTCCCCTTGGGAGAGAAAGGAGGCAAGAAAAAAGAGATGTGTGCATGAATGACCTGGAACACTTTCTATTTTCCCTTTCTTAATTTGTATTTTCATACCACATACTATGCCTGAATCCTGCTGTGCAGTGGATTCAGTGTCAGTGTCATGAAGACAGGATGCACCGTGAGAGAAAGAGGCCAGGTCAGTGGAGGGCAGTGGGTGGGGTGGAACCAGAACCCTCTCCCTTGGAAAAAGGGGAAGTTCAGTGAGATAGAAGAGAGGGGAAAGGATATGCTAAGACTGTGGGATGGACTGAGAGGGAAAGAGATGGGGCTATGTGGACATATCTGGGAGAATCAATTAGTATGGAATTGAATATCTACTAAAACCAGAATCTAAAAATCTACCATGATCTCTGTTAGCCTGTAGGAGATTCAAACATCTTATTTACAATGAAAATATATACTCTTAAATGAATACGTAAATGGAAACTGACTATTTGGTTTTGCTAGAGGTGGAGAGAAACTTAGAACAGTAAGAGCCGACACCAAATGTTAATCACCTGTGGCACAATAGTTAACTTAGAATAATATTGAAACATTTTTGCATACAGCATTCTCCACAGCCCGTCTCCTTTTATGTGTATGCATGCAAGTATATAAATTGCTGAATCCATGTCAGTTGTAAAGTAATGGCACCGAGGGCATCATAAATTACTGTGGTGATCCTCAGGAGAAGACACTGTCATGTCTGAATGAGTGTCTCACTTCCAGAGTAATGTATGCCTTCATCTGGCCCCGCAGTCAGCATATTGCCCTGTGTTGATGGATATTGTCAGCTGGAAGCTACACTACATTTCACTGCACAATAAACATGGCTGTCAAACCCATATAAAGTGAAATCAATTTATCCTGTATGGTCAGTGCATTTTAAATGAAATTAATGTACTGTGGGTATGGTGGCAAAAAGGTAGCATATTAGTTATGCATCTTGGGGCCTGAGTCTCTTCATGTAAGGCATCATTCTGTCTAGTAGTCCTAAGAGAAGGCCTGTTTATAAAATAGGTTATTTTCTCACGGTCTTCAGAAAGTGGCCTCTCTGCACTCCTTCGTGTTTAGAAAAGAATTAACAATGCCATCCAGTTCAGACCTTTTATCATCCTGTCTTTTGTTTGAAACAAATGATGCCCATATTTGCCAAATAATAGTGCACTTTAATGTTCTAATTTATTCCTAGCTCTGACACAAACAAATTTCTACATAATCAAGGTATCTGGAAATAGAATAGAAGGGCCAGGGATTGATAGGGTCATGTTGTTCCTGTATAATCACTCCACTGAGCTGAAAGGATTTACTTTTTCCAAAAGTAGAAATGTTGATTTTAATGTATATTTTGCTTCTAAGCTTTTGGAAATAGGTTTTCTGCTTTCTGCATTAGAAGCCCTGGCTTGCTGTCAGTCCAACGTTAGGTTTCCCGAGAGGTGTTCTCGGTCTCAGGGAGACATTTGGTGATGGCAGCATTGGAAAGCATACATCCTTGTATTGTTCTGGTGCATGAAAATACACAAGAGCTATGTTCACTCTTTCAGTGGATTTATTCAATCATTCCTTAATTTAACATATTTTACTAATTGAAACTCTACCTGCCAAGTGCTTTACTGGAACCTAGGAAAACAGCGGTGAATGAGAATCTCAATGAGCTTTCAATCTAGTGCATCACTAGAGTCAACTTTTTGGAAACTAGAAAACAATATCAGGAATTTAGACATAGTTTTGTAGGGGCATGTTAAAGAACTACCCATAAACCACAGAAAGAGATATCAGGACCCTTGAAACACATGCCTTTTAGTCTACTACTTTGGCACATGAATTGAAGACCAAACAATCTTTTACATAAGTATTTATTGAGTATCTGTTATGTGGGAAATCCTGGGGATACAAGAATGAGCACAACATGGACACCAAATTTAGGGGTCCCGTATTCCTGGGGATGGAGGGAAAAAATTAGAGATAATCACATAAACAAGTAAGTACTTCGGAGCATATAGCGTAAAAGAAAGAAAGGAATGCAGCCTGGGGAACACCAATGCAAATGCTGTTGCTGTAGCCTTCCCATCTGTCTTACCCACTCTCTCCTGATTCACAGGCTAATTCTTATTCATTCTCCAGGCTCAGCTTAGTTATGACCTCTCCTAGGTGGCACTAGCTGACTGTCCTGTCTGGTGCCTTCTTGGAAATCTGCTTACTTCAATATTGCAACCATTTACTCCACACATTGTGATCATTGTCTTTTGGGGTCTGTCTCCCCTCTGAACTATACTTAAATGCAGGGGCTGTTTCATTCACCTTTCTATCCCTAGCACCTGGGATAAAGCTTAACTCATAGTAATTGCTCAATTAATATTTTTATTGAATGAATTAATTCATGAAACACACCACATTTTAATAGGCCTTGAAAAATGAGTGGGATTTAGCGTGAAGAGATAGGAGAAGGGGTTTCCTTTCAGGCATTGAAAAGAGCACTGGCCAATGCATAATTCTGTGAAAGAGAGTTCTATTTGAGGGAAAGAGACAGTTTGGAGTGGCTGCAATTTTTGGTAAATGGGACTCCACTCTTAAGGGGAGGAATGACAGCAGGATAGCTTCTCACAAAGTAATGCCAGTTATTGCTTCATTATCACCTGCATGGGTTGTTTTTAAAAATGTTCTAGGGGTATAAAAACATGCAACATTAATGCTGCCCAGTGTGTCTTTGAGGCCTATGTCAGAAGAGCCTGTAGAACTGTCATGTGAAACTGTCTTCTGCTTCCAAGATGTCACTTAAAAAGAAGAGAAGGGCCTAAGGAAAGCAGCTGAACCAGGCGGTAAATTGTGTTACATGATCCAGATAATAATGCTTTGCACCCATCTTGTTCCTCCTGCCCTGATATTACAGGAAGTAAAGCAATGAATGGCTCTGCAGCTAAACTACAGCAGTATTATTGTTGGCCAACAGGAGGTGCCACTGTGGCTGAAGCACGTGTCTACAGGGATGCCCGCGGCCGGGCCAGCAGCGAGCCACACATCAAACGACCAATGAATGCATTCATGGTTTGGGCGAAGGATGAGAGGAGGAAAATCCTTCAGGCCTTCCCCGACATGCATAACTCCAACATTAGCAAAATTTTAGGTAAGTGTAGCCGCTGAGGCTGTTCTCGTACCCCATGAATGTCCCAGGAGTGAAAAGCAAGGGCAAATTTGACAGCTAAGGGTGACTGTGGTCTGTAGAAGCTAGATACAGCCCTTCAAGCTGCCACAGGAGACTTTGTCACCACCGCTACATCTGCTACCCCAGAGCGTGCTACTTGGGTTTGGGAATTATTACACCCGCAAGGTGCCAGGGCAGGACTCACTAAAAACTTCTCGTAGAGACAAAACTATTTACAGTATGCATTAACACTCTGGATTTGGCCACTCTGAGAGGTCACTGCCACACAGCAATCCTGGAGACAAGCTCTATCTCCTTTCCTTATTCAGTCTTTTTAAGTCATAAGCTGCTGTGAAACCTTGGAAACACAGAGCCGACAGTGTTCTGCTTTAGTATTCTTGCTGTCCTGTGTCCCTCTGAAAGGGCTCATCGAGGACTTAGAGGTGAGCCTCCAAATAGTGTAAAGTTCCTGGGGTGTACAACAGTGCCTCTAATGATAACTTCAAAACTCGTAAAATAAAACTGCGTTTACTTTAATAAGAAGTGACTGGTTCAGATTTCCTAGCAGGGAGTTGAACACATTAGACCACAGGGCAGAGGCCCATTTTGTGGTGAATTGCCAGGGCGATTCTCCCGTTCCTCAGGATTAAACTCAAGCCTTGTTCTATTAGTGTAAAGCTTGCCTAGTGCAGATTATACCATTTGGAATTATTGTGCTCAACATATTGAACATATTTTATTCAACATGCAGCATTACCGTCAACATGTTTCTTCTTTAAAAAGGAAAAACACAGAAGGCACTGTTCTATTTAAGCTGTCACGATGTGACACGATCTCAAAGGGAGCCGTTAAAGAAGCTGAAAAACATTAGAGACTTAAACTGTGGTTTTCATTTTTTAAATGTTTTGTTCAAAAGCAATAAATATTTAACCTGAGCGAATATCAGTAATCTGGACATACACAAATACACATGTTTTGTCACTGTATAAATAATTTAACTCGATTCTGAGACATTTTGAGGCAGTGACCTCTAAGAAAATTTAAAACATACATAGATCAAATAGTGGTGAAATGTTAAAATACAAATTTCCCTTTTTTTCCATTTTGACTTTTGAATTTCACGATGGATAGTAAATGTCATTACAATTAAGTTTATTTTTAGAGTCTCAGAGATATGCATAGGGGTATTATTCCTTCTAATTTAAATACCTTTCAAACCAAAATGTTCCCAAGGTATATATTAATTTTTTTTCTAATTAATAGACATTCAAAAGAAAACCAGTGTTTCTCTGTTCTTAAAGCTTGATATCTGACTTTGACATTTTTTTTTTCCATTTTAGTAGCAGCATGAGTAAGCTCCCATATGGGCACAGAACTTCTCTGTTCCCATTTTGGCAGCTGCGGGGAATTTATATTATTGGTGTGCATTCTGTGAAAAAATTATTAAGAATATAGTAAGTGTATTCATTAAAATGTAAACTTCCAAGCACAAGAGCACCAAGAGTGCTCTGTTAGCTGGGGCTGGAGGCTGCTGGAAGCCTGTGGAACTCCTGGCGGCCTATCCGCGTCGGTGTTCCACACGACTCTCGCACAATCGGGAGCGCACAGGGACGGATGTGCCATTAGCGCAGACCAGGATATTGCTGGCTACGGAGAATATTTGTACAACTTTTCCATTTGTTTATGTATGAAAATCTCCACCGAAGAATAGCTAACATCCAGTCAGCACAGCTGTTACCGCTTTATTCACCAGCAAAACACAAAAATGCAATTTGATACATGTAAAAAAACACATCCCTTCTTCGTCAAGTGTTTAGATAATTCTTTATAAACAATATTAGAGGAGTGAATACTTTTCCTTCTTCCTGTATAAACCATATTAAAAATTTTTGTACTTTTATTGGTACAGCTTTGAATGAACGTTTATAGTACTTGAAAATGGTATATATAATTCCAACTGTACCTTCCGGTTCTAAAGCTATAACTTCTTAAGTAGAGTTCAGGCTTTTTAATTACCCTAGGCCAGGAGAGGCAGAGTGCTGCACAGTGGGTTTTCATACATGGAAGGGTATCATATCCGCTGACATCTTATCAAAGGATAGCTTTGCTAAAGATGCTTGGAACAAGAGAGGGGTTTGAGTTTCTGGACCAAGAAAGCTTTTCCTGAGACTCCTGTCACACTGCAAGTGTGCTGGAAGATTAGGTTTTTAACCCTCTTGAGAGGGATAGGCAAATGGGGGGTGGGGAAGACTTTGCTGCTGGACAGGATCTTTAAGCAATAAAGACATGTTTTAAAACAATACACTTACTGTAACACTAGACTTTAAGTTATTGAGAGAAATAAATGCATCACATGCAAAATCAGGCTTTGCTCTGTAGTGTAAAAGACAAATTGTGAGGCTCAATGGTGTGTGGTAACAGGAGCCATTCAGAGCCCAGGTGAGTGGAGCAGCGGGAAGGTAAACTAAGCCGTTTGCCAAGAATGTGTTGCCTTCCCCACTTGGGGACTGAAGGCTATTTTTATGTCTAGGGTCTCGCTGGAAATCCATGTCCAACCAAGAGAAGCAACCTTATTATGAAGAGCAGGCCCGGCTAAGCAAAATCCACTTAGAGAAGTACCCGAACTATAAATACAAACCCCGACCGAAACGCACCTGCATTGTTGATGGCAAAAAGCTCCGGATTGGGGAGTACAAACAACTGATGAGGTCTCGGAGACAGGAGATGAGGCAGTTCTTTACCGTGGGGTAAGTGCTCCTGGATTGGGCCGCCTGGGCTTGCCCTCCCCAGTAGGAGATGGGGAAGGGAGGAGGTGGGCATCTGCACAGGGCCGCAGGCACACAGCCTTGCAGCGCAGCTCCTGCTGGAATCCGAACCTGCAGCAGGTCGCTCCCAATGGATCGCCCTGTCCCTGTCGCCCAAGCTAATCTGAGATGTTCAGTGCCCACACACACAGTTTCTGGTAGTTTATTTAAACAGACACACAAGGAGGAAAACATAAAAACTAAACTTAAGAAATCCCCAGAAGCTTTCCAACTTCTCTGGGTGGTGCTTCTGACTCTAATCACAATAGTCTGCTTTTGTTGTGGGATCTACCACAAGATAATTGGCCTTGACATTGGTTAGAGGACCTCATTTTTGGCATGAGATCCAGAACTCCTGTTGCAGTAAATTATTCTGTGGTGGAAACAGTAACAATGTGGATTTTCTTGCTTAAATCAAAAACTAGACATGTTTTTGATATCTTCAAGTCTGATTTCATGTCATTTTGTTTAAAAATTAGGTAATAGATTTCTGGTATAAATTTCAACTTGGCTGACTGGCTGTCTGCATTCAAGAGAGGCCCCTTGAAACCACAGTAGTCAGGATAAGTGGGGACGCAGATGCCTGGAGGTTCCAGCACACCCAGACCTAGAAGCACGGGGAGGGGGTGGGGAGTGTGGGGGGTGGGCCATTCTGGAGGTACCTGCCTGAGGCAGCTGGGATCAGATTGGGAAGACACTTGGGAAGGAGCTTGAGAGAGAAAAGTAGAGTAAGTAACAAGGAGGCTGTATGCGCTGTTGCCTGGGCAGAGAATTGTGGAGCTGCGCTCTGCCAGGGTAATAAGAAGAAAAGAAATCCGTATCTTAAAGAAGTAAAGAGCTAATTAGTGTCGTTAACACTAACTCACGGAACAAAAAGTTGGCTTCAGAATCGTGTATTTAAAAACATTAAACTTAATTTGGAATAGTAAATAGTCAGAATAAAAACAAACAAAAAAGCTAATGAAGGCAGTCTGGGGCATGAGTCTACGTCACACGCTAGAGTGTGTGGGGAGGGCGCAGGTGTCGCAGCCTGTGAGGTTCAGGCACAGGCTGCTTGGGCCGTGATGTAACTTCTCCGAGCTTCTGTGTTCTCAGGTGTAAATGAGGCAAATAATACCTATCGCATAGGATTGTTGAGAGGTTCAATGAGGCAGTGCTTGTAAAGTGCTTTATGTGGTGCTTACTTAGTACAAAATCAGTAAAGGCAAATTCCTGTCATACTTACTATTAAGTATGGATTTACTATCATAGAAAAACTTTATATGATACTACACTAGATAATCAGTGACTTTCTTTCCACTGTGGCAGAACCTTTTCAAGGTAAAGAGAGGCTTAAACCAGTTTATAAGGATCCCAGTCTAGTGACAGATGAAGACGCGCCAAAATAGGATTATCAGATTCCCCTGTAACATCATTGTTTGCGTTTTTTAAAATAATGCTTTTAACACCAGAAGTATAATGCAGTGTAATTGACCTATTCACATGCTAATTAGAGGATTTGTGAAAAATACCAATTCATGGTGCACTGAGGGAAGTATAGTCATATGAAACAAAATACAAATTTAAGACTATGTGATAAATGTTGTCTTTTAATCTTGATCGTGTATGTCTGAGACTGTGTAATCTCTTTTGAACAGAGAATCAAAAGTTTAAATTTGAAATGCTTTGTGATTCCCACCCTTCTGTCAGTCATGCCCCTGTGAATCTAGTGAGACATAACGGGTCTCTTCCTCCACAGTCCTGGAGGCTGTCAAAGGTACCATTTTAGCTCCTGATACTTACCTGAAAATCTGAGATGCAGTCATTCTATTTGATTTAGATCCCTTTACCAAAGGGTACATTGAAATAGCTCTGGATCAAATATCTCAGCACACAACATTGCTCGTGAAATAAAAAAATAAAACAACTCAGTAGCATATAGCATTTATTGAGTGTCAACTGTATATTGTATCTGTGTTTTAGATATACAAACCCCATAATCCTCTAAATGAGATAAAGAAATGGAGGCTGCTGAAAGGTGAAAAAGAACAAAGGTTTAAATCCAGGTCTCTGCCTCCTTCCTGCCAGTGACTGAGGATTTATTCTGATGACGTGGGCATCCAAAGAATCCTTAGAGCCTTATTTTGCACAGTCATGGGTATGGCTGTGCTATTTGAGGAAGAGCTTCTGGAAGCTGGACAAACTAAGATCTTTGGTTGTGGTATATAGCAACATAAAAAGAGTTTAAAATTTGTAGAGTAAAGATCCCAATTTGGGTGGTGGAGGGGGTTATTTACAGAAGGATCACATTAGGTTAGGGAATGGGGCTATAGGTGTGCAGGCAATGACCAGTGGATATCTTATTCTTTAATCCTGAATGCTGAGTATTTTCTCCTGCCCATCTTGGTAATTCTTGCTACATAAAGCCAGGTATTATTTCCACTTTAAGAATTGTATTCTCTTTTACGTAGTTGTATTCAATAGATTAGTAACTCCCTGGGGCTCCTCTTTGGAAATTGATCTTCAATAGATGTGAAGTTGTTACAAGAGGGAAAAACAAATAAGAAATCCAAACATTGCTATTGACTTCTTGAAAGAATGAGGGTAAGATCAGTATTTATAGCTGATTTTTGAAAAGACACGCATAACTTTCAAGCCAATAAAATTTTGCTCAGCATTGTCATGCATTTTACTGATGATACAACTAAAATTTCAGTGAGTTAAAATTTTTGCTCAGCTATTATGAAGTGAATTTATCAATTATATGAAATGGAGTTAAGTTAGTTTTTACCTTGGACTTAACCCTTTTGATTGACAGGTTAAGTATCAGAATTTTGGAATAATTCTGATAAGAGTATTGTTAATATTGAAATGGTATTCGTTGGGATATATATAGCTCCAATGTTGTCTTTTCCCAAAGAACTATGGCCAAATGTACTTCCCTTTATTTGAAGCTCATCCAATAATTTATTGTGAACTAATAGAGGATTATGCAGATGTTATAAGATATTACATTTGGGGCTAGTCTTGAGTAGTAGTGGTAAATTATTGACTACTTACCATATGCTGTATACTACGCTCAGTGAATTAGACAGACTATTGCAAATACAACAAATTTATGAAATCCTCACAATGGGGTTAAAAAACATAATGTTCAGAGATGTTAAATAATTTGTCCAAGGCCACACAGCTAGTGCATCACAGAGCTGAGATTTAGAACAGGATTATGTGAATGTGAAACATATGTCCTTCCCACCATTACACATGCCTCTCAATCAGGGCCTACAAATTGCTTAGAGGTTATATGGTATAGTGGTTAAGAACATCAATTCTGGAGCCAGACTATTCCAGCTCAAATATTAGATCTACTTCTTCCTGGCTCTAGGAACTAATACATAGCCATCTGTATGCCTCTGAGCTCTCCACATGCCCTTAGGAAACTTATTTAAATTCTCTGTATCTCAGTTCTCTCATGTATAGAATGGAGGTGACAATTTTACCTACAACTCTGGACCCTTCTGAAGACTGAATAGCTATTAATATATCTAAAGTACTTGGAACAGTCTCTGGCAGATTAGAAGCCCCAAATTAGAGTAAACATTATTATTCTAGAAAAATAATGCTATGTGCCAAGTATATATTTCATGTTATAAAGAACTATAGTCTATTGCCTTATGCTATAAGTGATTTGAACAGTTTCTCTTTTGATCTTTCTTCTAAAAAGGTCTAATCAGACCTATAAGGTACTTATAAATATAATCGATTAGCATAGACTAGCCGTACTTATTTTCAGTATCGGCCTTCTGTAAAGAAAGCTGGATTAGAATCTCCGGAAGTAAGGTGAAAAGCTTGCTCCTGTTTCCATTCCGTACCGCGGCATCGACTACAGACATGTGCAATGACAGGGTTATCTCCCAATGAAGCACACTTCATTGCCTTCATTTACAGATGCTGCAAAGGTCTGAAGGGTCAGCAAACAACAGAGCTTTGCCAAAAATAAAAATGTATTTCCTTTGCAATTGGCCAAGCTAGACTGTACTCTCAAGATATTCTTGTGAGTTGGAATTGTGCAGCTATGCTGGATGCAGTCAGGGCTGCTTGGTTTCTGTGAGGGTCAGCGTGTACTTGTCACTTGGGCTGGATGGGAGGGTTTTTAACCATCTCTGCTCATGGAAGCTGCACGTGTATACTTTTACAAACATCTGCAACTTTGGTTTTGATGTGCACATTCATTATTCGTAAAGCCCAATACTTACCAGCTATTCCTGTTTGTGAAATCAGCAGTGTTTGGGTTTTGACTTTGCAATTGATCTGTAAAGGAAGGAAAAATGCTTTTTAGGAAAGTAATTTCCAATAGACAAAGCTTGAGCATGATGGCTGGATCTTTCCATTTTGCTAATTGATTAGTCAGTCAATTGGTAGGGGCTTGTTTGAAACCAGTGCTGTACTAAATTGTACTAAATTGTACTAAATTGATATAGTACTTGAGGCATTAATGCTATACACAGGGAGCTTTCAGAGAATGCTACAGTCAGGGAAGCCAGGCACATACATGAATAGATCAGCAAATAATAGTTTGTTACAGACACACGGATGCATTACATAGTGTTGCACATAGTGTATAATAAAGTACACATTTTGATTTTATAGAAAGAGCAAGTAAAGCTCAGAGGAGGAGAGGTCACTATGCCTTAGGTCTGACCACAGGTCATCCTAGAGGAAGGGGACCTGAGGTTCGGTTCTGCCAGGCTGAAAGTAGGGAGAAAGATCCCTGTTTTAGTGTGAAGGAGAATGTGAACACATGGGGGCAGGGGTGTGGAAATGTTCAATAATAAAGAAGAAAGCTAGGAATTCCCCTGGCAGTGAAGGAAAGTAAGATAGATAGGGTGGAGCAGTATTCTGGAAACCCTTGGAAGCTAGGCATCTCCAGCTATTAATTAGCCATGCTCACTGAATTTTTTAGT